CATTTGCTGTCCTTATAGAAACAGCCATGAAAATAAAATGCACTAAGTTTTTTGCTAAAGCATATAGCAATAGCACATTTGCTGTCCTTATAGAAACAGCCATGAAAATAAAATGCACTAAGTTTTTTGCTAAAGCATATAGCAATAGCACATTTGCTGTCCTTATAGAAACAGCCATGAAAATAAAATGCACTAAGTTTTTTGCTAAAGCATATAGCAATAGCACATTTGCTGTCCTTATAGAAACAGCCATGAAAATAAAATGCACTAAGTTTTTTGCTAAAGCATATAGCAATAGCACATTTGCTGTCCTTATAGAAACAGCCATGAAAATAAAATGCACTAAGTTTTTTGCTAAAGCATATAGCAATAGCACATTTGCTGTCCTTATAGAAACAGCCATGAAAATAAAATGCACTAAGTTTTTTGCTAAAGCATATAGCAATAGCACATTTGCTGTCCTTATAGAAACAGCCATGAAAATAAAATGCACTAAGTTTTTTGCTAAAGCATATAGCAATAGCACATTTGCTGTCCTTATAGAAACAGCCATGAAAATAAAATGCACTAAGTTTTTTGCTAAAGCATATAGCAATAGCACATTTGCTGTCCTTATAGAAACAGCCATGAAAATAAAATGCACTAAGTTTTTTGCTAAACATATAGCAGTAGCATTTGCTGTCCTTATAGAAACAGCCATGAAAAATAAATGCACTAAGTTTTTTGCTAAAGCATATAATAGCAATAGCATTTGCTGCCCTTATAGAAACAGCCATGAAAATTAAATGCACTAAGTTTTTTGCTAAAGCATATAGCAATACCATTTGCTGCCCTTATAGAAACAGCCATGAAAATTAAATGCACTAAGTTTTTTGCTAAAGCATATAGCAGTAGCATTTGCTGTCCTTATAGAAACAGCCATGAAAAATAAATGCACTAAGTTTTTTGCTAAAGCATATAGCAGCAGCATTTGCTGTCATTATAGAAACAGCCATGAAAATTAAAGACACTAAGTTTTTTGGCTAAAGCATATAGCAATAGCACTTGCTGCCCTTATAGAAACAGCTATGAAAAATAACACTGCAACTTGATTAGATATCCCAAGATACCTGCAACACTTCCAACCATTCGGCAAGGACAAACAGTACACCCAAAAAGCGGCGCCTTTCTTTTTACATGTACTGCTTGTCCATGCTGAATGATTCGAAGTCTCACAGAGACCTTGGGAAAATAAAAAAGTTGTAATGCCACTGCCCTTGTACTTTTTTCCAACCTAACCTAACCTTCTAAAAGTAATGAAAAGTTTTTGTCTTTTTTGCATAAAAATTACATTCAAAAACGGGGTTTTTTTCAAAATTTTGAAACTTTAAAATTGTGTTCATTTGTACCCAGTCTGAATTGACTTCAACCTGAAATAGAATGCAAAATAATTGTTGGTAAAAACAACAAAAAGAATCAACAAATTGGCAATTAACACTTTAATTGAATACAATTATCTCTCTAATTGTTTTCACTAACCAATCACATTGCCGAAATGTTTGGCGCGAACAAATTCCCTGGTGAAACTCAGAAACTGGCAGTTGAATTTTAAGGAAATAAGTCAGAAAACAGTAAATTTTTGGTAAATTTGGTTGAAGTTTTCAAACTTTAGGCCTGCCAAAATTTGTGTTGTCCAAATATATAAAGCTGAACGAGACACGCGCGCGAAAAGTTTTCAAAAATTTCCCAACTTCGACTTCGACAAATTTTTTTCAAACATTTTCCTGAAAGACTTCTAAAAACTGCGTGAGTTTGTTTTGTTGTCTTGTTTCTACTTTGTGCCATCAAATATTCGAAATAAAAGCGGAATACAGCGACACATTTTACCATGTGTTCAAGTGCTCGACTAAAATCTCGCATTTCGTCTCGAAATTTTGCTTAAAAATACTCCAAAATTCCTTCAAAGGTTTCTCGAAGTATTGCTATGTTTAGCAAAGACAAAAGTCAAACGAAAAGAACAAGAAATTGAAGGCAAAAGCGGCGAAACTTCTTCGGTCTGGCCGAGCCAACGGTGAACTTTGAACCCGCATTTCAGGCCTAAAAATTCAAATTAATGTCAGAAAAATTCAAGAAACAGTAAATTTATACTTGCCTGTAACGGTTGAATGCATTTCTGGGTCGCAGAAGCGTCGAATAACGGTCGTCTTGAATAAAACGTGGAGAAGACTGTCGTAGGTTATTTCCAAAGGGCGACATGTTCCAAATGCCCCAAACGTCGTGAACGCAGAATTTTCCCGCTCTTGCTTTCGCCTGTGATTGGTGGATATTGGCCAATCACGAAACGTTTACAGTAAAAACTGTTGGAACTCTGCTGTTGGAAGAATATTTTTTGTTCACATCTTTGCCACTGTAATTCGCCGAAGATGAAAAGTTAAAATCTCCCAAGCAGTTTTTCAGCTTAGGTGGTTTCTCGTAATTTTCAAGAAAAGCGATTTCGGGTCACAGATTGATGTTATATGTTAGGGGCCATTCACAAAGGATGTCCGAGCCGAGGAGGGAGAGGGGGGTTTGGAAAATCAGGACAACCTCGGACATAGGGGGGGAGGGGGGTTTTTAGCAATCCGGATGTCCGAAATTTAAAAAAATTCAAAAACAAATTTCTTTTTCCTCTATTTTGAACTCTCCTTCCCATTGTGAAATTGGCATTTTGAACACTTCATAATATTATCTAATTCTGTCCTTCAATGATGAATTCAACAGTGGCGTTAAATAAAAGCTTTCTGTACGTATAAAGTACATAAGCTTTCTGCATGTACAATAAGTTCATCCCGTTGTTGCAGTAACACAGTTGTTTGTTAGTTATAAAAGAGTTGTAAAAGTAAAAAAAGTTTTTTACTCTTGACATATACAAGGTTGCGTGAGTTTTTGCGAGACATGGCGGAGGTCCGGGTGGAGGGGGGTCACTAATTCGGACAAAGCCGGACAAGGGGGGAGGGGGGGGGTCTGAAAATCCATCATTTGGCCGGACATCCTTTATGAATGGCCCCTTATCAGAATATTGAAGCGTTATTTTTATTTAATCTAACTCAAAATACTCGAAATACCCAAAAGAAATAAACATGAAAAAATATAAAAGAACCTGAAAACGTAGACCCTGAAAACATCAAGCCTAGCGGGCGAAACGTAGGTCTGTTTTCAGGCTACATCAAGCCTGAAAACATCTAGCCTGAAATTCTGAAAACAACCTCAGCTTGAAAACACCGACTCAGCCTGGGAGTGAAAACGACCGAGCCTGAAAACGCCGACCCATAAAACACCAAGCCGGAAAACCCCGGCCCAGCCAGAAAAAAACCCTGAAAAAAACCGACCCTAAAAACATCGACCCTGAAAACACTGACCCTTAATTTATCTGAAAACCCTGTTACCCTGAGCCTGAAAATCTCAATGAACTTGGCATCAGGTGTCGTAATCTTTTATAATAACACCCTTAGGGGCGGACCATTAGAAATCCCGGGAGGGGGGGTGAAAATTCCCCAAAAAAAATTCGTGCAAAAGAAAATGCCTGGGAAAAAAATTCGTGCAGCCATTACGTCAGAGACAAAAAATTCGTGCAAGCAAACAGCGAAGTAGAAATAGTCTTGAAAAAAAATTCGTGCAGAGGTTAAATGCATTAAAAAAAATTCCTGCAGAGACACGAGACTGAAAAAAAAATTCGTGCCGCAAAAAATGTATACCCGATATACATGATTTCTAATGGTCCGCCCCTTACACCCCAACATTCATAACCCCCGCAACGAACACCTGTGAGTTTGTCAAACCGGGAACCAACAGTTTGAAGTTCAGACTAGTGACCACAGAAATTATGCGAAGTTTTTACGCACATTATTTTGTCCACGCCCCCCCCCCACACACACATTCTTGTCCGCCCCCACCCCATATTTCCCTGCCGTACGTGGCGGCTATATATAGCTAGAAATTGAAACTGAAAATTCTGCGCACTTTCACATTTTAAGGTCCAGACACACCGAACGCGATTCGACAACGCGACGCGATTTTCGATTTTCACTGACCGATAACTTTGATCCTCGTTTAAATTTTCCAAATATGTAGAAACAGAGTTAATTAATAGAAGTAGGCGTAGAAGTGATATAACATTTTGTGTTATTTGATCTACATATCTTTTAAAATTTGCTCTCATTGGCTGTTTTATTAACTTTCAAAAACTAAAAAATCGCGTCGCGTTGTCGAATCGCGTCCGGTGTTGTCTGGAGCTTAATACTGCACATACTTTTCAATCAATACTGTGTGAACCACATGTGCTTATTAATACTGAACAATAGGCCAGCGAGATAAACTCTTTCAAGAGAGCTAAAAATACTACGTGAGTGCTGGACATTGCGTGATGTGTTAACGTCATGTACGTCGAGAATGCTAATTAAATTTCCGCATCGCTCACACGAAGTCGCAGATAATATCAGGCAGTCTTGTTGAACCTGTTTTACAAAACTTGCGTATCGGGAAATAGGCTTACGCGCGCAGTACTTATAAATGCAGTACAGTTTAGAATTCCAGTAATTTCACGCCTTCGACTATAGCACTTAGACATCAACGAACGAAGGAAATTTTAAAGTAGAATTTTGTGCGCAACTATAGAAACATAGTTTGCCAACATGAGTTTTGTTGACGACAGTATGGTCGATTCGAAGCGATCTTGGTGCATACTAAGTGTCGTATTTTTATCGCTATTTGGCGCGGGTGGATTACAGATGTCGTTCGGGTCTATATTGGGTGCATTAGTCGATGAGTTTGGCGAATCAACAAGTAAAATAGGTTTGTTTGGGGCGTTTTGTGTCGGGTCTCTGTTCACTGTTGTTTGCCAATGTTTAGGTTTATAGGCCATTAGGGTTAACTCTTGGATGGTAACTTATTAACCAAACAATATAGGGCCTGTAGGGGCATATCTTTTTCCCACCGAAACGCAGAACAGTCCGGTATTACTGAGCGTTTCTTTTCGTCCTGAGCGTGACCACGGAATACACTACGAACGAAGTTACGGGCGGATAATATCAATATTTTAGAACACTTACTAGAAATCATTTCTACGGGATTACTACTTTAACGCCCTCCTGAATACTTTGATGCTGATGAGCCGAGAACTTGGAACAACGCAACACTACTCGGAATATGAACAATGAATAGCTTGCTGTTAGCTATCAAAACTATTTGACTCTATATAATACGTACTCTTGTTATATCATGTTAAAACGGCCCACAGTAATCGGTTTAAACTGTTACGCCGTCATTCGTTGCTTTATATATTGTTGTACATGTTTTGCGCGGGTCTGTGAGTCATTGTATTTGCTGTGTTTGGCGAAATTAAATAAATAAATATTCGCTATTTTACTCAGTCCAGACGATTTTACTTAGAAATACGTTGCCGTTTATACGTAGGAATATACGTAGGTAATTTGGAGTAATTTAAAAAACTTAAAACTTAAATTTTCCCCAAATTTTATATCATGTCTTAAATTCACGCGGTTCAATTCTGCGCAGTTTAAATATATTGTACTGAGATCTGTTTTACATTTGCGCGCATCTTTGGCTTTGCGCTGAGCCTGAAAGCCGACTAGAAATGGTCTCTTGTCTAGCTTGGACGCGGAGAGTTTTCATAACTTACTGGCATAAAAAATTAAAAATGCATTACTACTTGCGGGAACCATTCAGTATTTTGATACAAAAGAACAGTAACTCCGAATTACATTTTGATTTTATAATCGACGTTTCGACTAGATTGTAGTCTTAAAAATATTGGAGGCGAAACCAGGATTCATAATTAATTTTAGAACACTTAAAATCATTTCTACGGTATTACTACTTTAACGCCCTCCTGAATACTTTGATGCTGATGAGCCGAGAACTTGGAACAACGCAATACTACTCGGAATATGAACAATGAATAGCTTCCTGTTAGCTATCAAAAATATTTGATTCTATATAATACGTACTCTTGTTATATTATGTTAAAACGGCCCACAGTAATCGGTTTAAACTGTTGCGTCGTCATTCGTTGCTTATAATTGTTGTACATGCATGTTTTGCGCGGGTCTGTGAGTCATTGTATTTTGCTGTGTTTGGCGAAATTAAATAAATAAATATTTGCCATTTTACTCAGTCCAGACGATTTTACTTAGAAATGTCCAGACTTAGAAATACGTTGCCGTTTATACGTAGGAATATACGTAGGTAATTTGGAGTAATTTAAAAAACTTAAAACTTAAATTTTCCCCAAATTTTATATCATGTCTTAAATTCACGCGGTTCAATTCTGCGCAGTTTAAATATATTGTACTGAGATCTGTTTTACATTTGCGCGCATCTTTGGCTTTGCGCTGAGCCTGAAAGCCGACTAGAAATGGTCTCTTGTCTAGCTTGGCGTCTGCAGTCTTCGACGGGTAGATTAATAATGCGCTAGTGATATAAGATATGATACGAAGTGAATAGTGCTACACTAAATAGCGGTTTACAATTACATTTACTGACACAAAAGACAATTACTGACAGTTCCGCCTACGTAGAATATTGGTGACTAAAAGCGGTATTGTTCTGGCAAATGCCTTGAGTTGTTATCGGCGTCTTTCGTGCATGCAGTGTGCCAAGACTCTAATGTCATTAGATTGTAGTATTATACAGCCATGGCTGTCCTCAGGGAATTCTTCAGGGGGGTGGGGGGGGTGGGGTGTAAGGTCATTTCAACCGACTGACGAAAAAATTTTTTCAGAGACCAACAACCTCCCC